CTCCTGTGTCGGCACCTGCTGCTGCTTTTGAGACGACGAGGACCGCGACGACTACTGGGACGACGACTACTACCGTTACTGCTTACTCCCATTTCTGGTATATTTCAGTCAACTTGGCAATGTGGTAACAGGTGCATCCTAGCCTCCTCCAACAGGCATGAGTGGGGCAGTGCACGGAAAGCTTCACTTTAAGAGGATCTTGTACGACAGGCTCAGCTTCGAACCTTCATAGCTTGACATCCAAGTCCAACCAAAATGAAAACAATCCCAATCTGTAAGCTGCCGATCCTGACAAGGCCCGATTTTTGAGGCATATCAAGGCCGGTCGGGCCTTTGTGCGCGTGTGTGTAAATATATGCATATAGAATATGAATATTTATAGATAGATAGATAGATAGATAGATAGATATATATATATATATGTATATGTACGTATATGTTTATGTTCTGTGTATGTATATACATATATACACATGTGCATATACATATACACACATGCGTGTGTGTGTGTGTGGTTGTATATACGCCTGATTTGTTTATGTAATATTGTTTACTGACATTTACTTTTTGACACTCGTGCTATTTATGTTTATGTATCTCAACTTACCTATATATATATATATACACACTCACATGCCCAGACAAAGTTTGTTGTTTGTTTGGTTTGTTTTTGGTGGGGGGGTGTCGGATTGAATGTTCACAAGTTTTGTCGGGCATTGGCTTTGGCCGAAAGTCCAGTCTAGTTATCCTCATTGAGTTTATCTGCACGGTACCCTTGTCGTTTAGGGGTCCAGGCCTGTCGTGGCCTGTCCGTGGGTATCTTGGCAAAGTGCCGGCATGAGGCACATACTCGGGTTCGTGGCTCCTATCATTCCTATCAGGTTGCATGCCTACCTGAAGCAGTCCGTAGGATCAGAGACCAGGGGGCTGTACCTGTTTGTGAGAAGGTGTCCTGCAGACTGAACCGTCATCCGGACTCCGGAGCCTGTCAACATCCCGCGGGAGTGCGCTGTAAGGGTTTTGTGTTCTGGGTTACACAGGAAATGGCGTTACGAAACAAGCGTATGGGGCGCTGGGCATCGCAACGGCGAAGAAGGCTTCGAAACCCTGGCCCTATTCGAAGGCCACAGCCAATAAGCAAAGTCGTGCACCTCATGAAATCGCTTGGGAGCTGTATAAAGTCTTGTACAACTAGCTAGTAGACCGACACAAGCCTACAGTCTACGGCCCCGAGGTGGAAACTAAAATACCAATACCATGGCCGTGACCTCGCAGAACAAACCAAAGACTGTAACCCAACACTAAGAACTCATTTAATCATTCAATAAGGCATCATCAAAACCTGTGCATGGAACACCCCTCCGCTCAGTCGTCATGCACCGGTGACGCAACGCAAAAGCTGTGAAACCCATTGAATCCACTTTTCGAGCCCACAGATGGCTCGTCGCAGCTTTGCCTCCTTCGCTCTCCTCGCCACGGCGCTTCGGGGGCAGATGGGTTTGGAGCAGGGTGCAGGGTCTACAGTTCGTGGTTTAGGGTTTGGGCCAACTTGGGGCTTGAGCGTTTCGGGCTTGAGGGTGTGGGGTTTGCAGTTGGGATGGCGACTGGTGGGTTTAGGTTTTCGCGGCTCTTGAGGCGATGACTTTGAGACCTAGGTTTGGCGTCATTGAAGGCTCTGGAGTGGTATGTACATTATGCCGGGTCAACGCATACTAGCAGCGGATGCCAAGGTCCTGCAGTCCTGTCAAGCCATAGGAGCGAGCAACAACCCGAACGTTCTGACCTCCTGAAGGCCGATACCCAAGATCCTCACGCTTCCCACGGTAGGTTGCCGTCCTGGCACTGCGATGGAGTGCAGCTCAAGCCTCAGGAAGAGGACAACAAACAGTTACGATTAAGAAAGCAGATGGCAACTAGTACGTTTTAGCAAATGTATCAAGAGCGATGACCACCATGTCGAACACCATAGCTTCATGTCGCGTTCCTACAGTTAGACGAGCCAACGATGCGCACAATAATTAATTCTGTTGAATGCAACATGAACTAGATCAGCAGCAGCAGCAGCAGCAGCGGAACGAGTGCTACCTAACATGTTGTTGCTCGCTCGTCGTTGTGGTCGTAGCAGCTGGAGGAGCAGCAGCAGCAGCAGCGGCCGCAGCAGGAGCAGCAGGAAAAAGGGTAGTAAGTAATGGTAGTGGTGCGTATTGGTAGTGGTAGTGACTGGTAGTGGTAGCGATAGTGGTGCTGGGGCTGGTAGCAGTAGTGGTACTAGTACTAGTCCTTGTTCTTGTACTAGTAGTAGTAGTAGTAGTAGTAGTAGTAGTACTACTACTACTACTACTACTACTACTACTACTAGAAGGCCCCCCCCTTCCAACCTCTCCTGAACACTGTTAAAGAGGTTACTCGGTGTTTACACTACTGCCGTGATGTCGTAGTCTAATACCAACCACCGCTGTTGAGGGGTGGGGGGGGTGGGTGGGGGGGGGGGCATGATGAGGTACTTTGTAAGAGCACATCCATTTTTCCCGGTAGTTACGGTACTTTCGTATGTCGCAGCCCAATACCAACGATAATGATGCTGGTGATGATGATGATGATGATGGGTTTCGGCGCCAGGTAGTTGGTAGGTGGGTGGGGGGGTGGGGGTGGGGTGGCTGGTAGTAGTGGTGGTAGTAGTAGTAGTAGCAGCAGTAGCAGTAGCAGTAGTGGCTAGTCGTAGTCGTCGTCGTCGTAATAGTAGTAGTCGTCGTCGTAGCGGTACTACTACTACTACTACTACTACTACTACTACTACTACTACGTACTACTACTACGACTACTACTACTACTACTACCACCACTACTACTACTTCTGCTCCTGCTCCTATTCCTTTGATGACGAGGCTCCGCGGACTTGGGAAAGAGACTTTGGCGGACATTTGGGACACCT